GGCACAGGTTCGGCACCAACATCTTGCCATTCCTATTATATTGCTTGTCGTATTTAGGGCACGATGTTATAAGAATCCACTAAATTAACATCCAGTTGTACATAGAGTTCACGCAAAAATGGACAAAACTCTTGGAAACCATCTCCCAGCGCCAAGTTTCCACTTATTTTGCAAGCATATACACCGTCATCTGTAAGGAAAGGCAACGTTGCTGGCCTTCGTAAAAGTAATCTGTCTGAAAGACCCTTTGCTTTGCCACTACACACGTTCCATTCGACAAAAGAAGACAGTATATCTAACGTAAACAGGCACCAAGGATGCAAGGTCTATATTTTTAAAGCAGGAATAGCTGTGCAGGCGAACCCAAAAATATTCAATTATCAGGTCCAGAAAAGGCAAGGTGCGCTGTTGTGACTGTGGGATTGGAGACTACTAATAAAGTGGGCTAGTTCTAACAAAAAGACCTGGAGTAATTAAAGGCCTATTAGGCGGTCTGGAGCAGCTTTTGAAGACAATGCACAACTTATTACAATTACTTTTAGCACCGTTAAAACAAATCCGACGTCCCTCCTTAGCCAAAAAAGAACTGTAGCACATACCAAAGACTAGAAAATTTCCGTCTCGAATAGTTAAAAACAGGCTTAAACCTCGGTTTGCACTCTTTAATGTAGGAAAGTTAAGCCTAAGTAACAAATTTTTACCGTACGCTCAACAACGCGGGATGGGAGAGCCTAATTTACTTACGAGTCAGTCCGCCGGAAGCCGCCATTCATCGCAGTTCTTAGCATGCATATGAGTTAACCGCAGCTGTACAGTACATTTTTCAATTAGAAGAAATGTGTATTCGCAGCAATTTAAGACTGAGTCCTTCAACAAACTACAGGGAAATATTTTTCAAACCAGTCCCGCTTTGTCGAAGAGACGGATATGGGCGCAGTTTGCACTAAGGACGTGGCCTTTCGAATGGCTCTGCATCAAATTTTAAGCGCGAAACAGTACCCTTGACAGATTTCGTTTTAGTCTAAAAAATCCGAAAACTAAAATTCTCCAATATGCAAAAATGTGCATACTGAATTTTTTTAGAGGACCAACATTTCGAGAGTTTCCATAAGACAACCACAATTGCCAGTATAAAAATTACGCTGCCTATATAATATAAATGCACCAGTTCATAATGATTGGTAATCTGGGTGTTTCGTCCTTAAGGAATCCTTCTAAAGTATTTCTAACATGTCTGGCTCGGCCGTAACCAGTACTTACAACACCCCTCGTACGGTCGACAACAAAATGTTTGCAAAACTAAGCATGAACATCTTTGACGGTTCGTACTACTTTAAATTCAGTCTGTTGTTGCGAAAAGTGGTTATGTGGAGTTCAGAATGCAGATGCGCCTAAATCACCGGGATATTTCCTGCCTACTCTCCAAAATCTTGGTATTCTCATGTCCTTGCATGCAATAGTAGAATAACTTCAGTAACAATTTTGCGTTCTTTAACCTTCAGAGGTTTTTAAAACAATATCGCAGTCGGCAGAGAACCTCTGGTTAAAAAAATAAAACCCCCGAGAGTTGTCAAAGATGGGACGTCATATTGCCATTCATTTTTTCGAATAATGAAAAGAAGTTTCAGGAAAATGACACGTATTTTATAAGTCTGGCGTTGAGCTGTAGGTACGCACGAAAAGCTGATATACTCGCATGTGCAAGCGTACGCTATAGCATTATCCGTAAATGACCGATCATTAGCCAGGTTATTTGCGGTGCTCAATGAACCCTCGCATACTTTCAACATTGCTTAATAAAGGGCAGCCTTCGCGATTAGACGAATGCGACCAGACTGTTTCGATTTCTTATTTAGTAGTATTATTCGCATGATCCGCTGAAGTAAATAGAAAGGCGATCGCACGCGCAAAAAGAGCGAAATATTTAAAGGCCATGAAGAAAACGATGTATGACATTTCGTTGTTTTCAACGATGTCCACCGTGTGCTCTACTGCAGGGTGAGAGCGGGACGTCAACTTGTGCGTTAAGTAGTTCTTAATGATAATAGACTTGCGCAATATCTGTCTCGCACTCTCTTCCTCCGTACCCAGTGTCAAGACAGAGTCGAGAAACTCGGAAATGGAAGAGAACACAGGTGTCTGGCTCGGCGAAAAGCCGCGTCTAGGTGGGCCAGCACACCTGGTTCACAAAGCACACTGACCAGAATTCTACCTACAACAAGAGAAGAGGCGGGTAGCCGAGATCGTATTGAGTGGGAGCGCCATGCAGACCACATTAAGAAATAGGCATTGCAGCCTCACTCTTAGTCAACCGGTCCGCCACTCCACACAATCAAACATTAACCTGACTGTGAGGCGAAAGTCATCGCGTCAAACTGAGCAAACTGCGTACAAGGGAAACACGCTTAGGAGTTAAGTTGGCAGTAAATATGACGTTTACCTATGTGCCGTTTAAGTGTTGCCAGGGAATGCATAAAAACGACAGGTAACGAAATATGCGTACTGGCGATTTTCATAATGATTCAAAATACAGGTAAATTGCGAAGCACATGGTGCAGTGAGCAACGGGCTGGACATCAAATGTAGAAGCCAGCGATTCGATTTTTGTGAAATACTGAAGTGCTCTACTTCGTTCTACCTGCCAAGCTGCTCAGTTCTCACAGTCGTTGAATACTCCTGCTCGCCATCATGGCTTGTGTCGTGGTCCGTTTCAAATTTGAGCTGTCGTGCGACACTTACTGGCATTAATGGTTGTCTGACAGAGTGATAATAGTGTTTGAAAACGTTCCACTATCGAGTTATCATGCAACGATGCGGGGGCAAGCCTAACTATGGTTACCTTACTTTTACTCGAAAAGTAGTCCTCAATAGTCGACTCGACCATCGCGAACGACAATGCCCACCGCGTGCCCCACGGCATAGTGGGCAAAGAGACGCTGACTTGCTTGTGAATGCGTTTATAGCGACGGCAGTCTCGCGCAGCATCTATCACACTCTCTCCTCCCTCACCCACCTAGGCCCGCTGGCAAGACTAAATAAAAACGACTAGAGGCGGAGTTGCGCGTAATGGATGGCAAATCTAAACAGTCCCCGCACGCCTGAAACGCGTACAGCGCAACAGGATTTCACAGAAAAGAAGCAGTCAGTTCGGGTGCCCACTGAATGCAACTACCACAGAGGTCACATTGAGATGGAACCATTGCAGACTCCCTCTCTCTCTGTCCTGAGGTACCGAGTTATTCTGCCAGTTGGAAGTCTTCCAAGCCACGACTCTGAACGCACCGTAGTGGTTTAAAAGTGAATCGGATTGTTTGTGGGGAGGCATATGCGCTGAGTGCCGTGGGGATGTGGTCCCCAGAGTCAACCTCCTTCCCCTCCCCACAGGCACCAGAACACTGTTCAGCCTCTCAACCAGCTGGTGATGGGACTGGACGCAGGTGGCTGACACTGCCTCAGTCCATCCCTAGGCGTGCCACCACACTCATCATGTGCAGCATTTGTCATGGGTGCACAGCCTAAATAACGCGTGCCGCACCCGGATCTGGTTCCGTGTTAATCCGCCGTGGTTCGTGCTGGGAGACAAATCGGTGAGAGAGCTAAAATGTTGCCACGTGCATGTAAACGTGTACATACTTGCCCTCAGCACAAGCACTAAGCCCATGTAGGATACTTAAAGGACAATACACTATGCCTTCAAACACATGCGTAAATTGGCATATCATAGCATGAGCTTCAAGTAGGTAGTATCACATCGTTTAGATGAAAAGATTGGCTATGAACAAAATCGAATTCGTGCTGATATTTTGGCATAAAGCTTCTGAACATATCAGTCACATGTCCAGGAACATGTTGAAGTCCTTCGTGCTTAGGAATGGTCTACAGATGTAGCTATCCTTTAAACATAACAAATGAATGTAAGATCATGTATAACAATATCATAAAGGAAATAAGGTGGACTTCATTCGGAGCTTATCTGCTTTAAGAAGCGAATGAATGACCTGCACCCAGTCCTCTATGCAGAAACAGCCGAGTTATATCGAGAGAGAGAATGCCAGATGAGGCATTAACGGCATTCGACTTGTGGAAATACTCGTAGGCCCGCCGATTGACGCGGTCCGTAGACTCTCTGCGCTACGCGCGTGTGCATTTTTGTGTTTTTAGTGCTGGATGGCGGTTGGGATTATGCTTGACTGAAGAAAGGCAGAAGAAGTAAGAAAAATTGACGAATCGACCTTACCACATCTCAGTCAACACATCATCCGTTCTCATGGATTCTGCTCTGATTACACTTCTTGCTTACGACGTTTGACATGAGATAGTAATGTGATAGATCTGCCATGTATGTACATGAAGCGACGTGGGGGTGTCCGGCTAGAGTTAACTGCGTAGTGATGACCGATTAGTTCATTTGCCTCTCATAGATGCTGGTTACTCTGCACGGCCCATACTGGCAACCATATCTTATCTGTGAATACCCGAAGCTAGACTGTGCTTGGCGGCCACACCCCCTGGTAACCGCTTAAACCTGCTGGCGTAACCAGATGATGGGATCCAGTGTTATATGTGTCGTTACACCCGGTAATCTTGCTCCCTTTCCTAGTTTCCCCCTCCCACGCTAACCAAGTCCTACGAGAGAGCGACATACAATCCTGTAGGCGGCGTAGGCTAGCTCTGACCGGCCTCCACTAACCAAAATCTCGATAATTAGTGTGCTTCGGCAGCCGTCTGTGATGACTAAGCACCCCTTACCTAGGGATGGCGATGCTTATCCCCTAGCGTGTAAAGACGCTGGAAAGGTGCCCTAAAATGTTGGGGAATCACGAAACCCGACTATGGCTCCTAGATATCAAAATCACGGTCTAACCAATAAAACGTACAAAAATTTCCGCCTCCATTCCCTGTGTTCCATTCTACGAACCGTTAGAGTGACTTTGCTCGCTCGGGCGGCCAAAGATTTTCGTCCTCATGTAGACAATCCGTTGAGCCTCCACTCGGAAGGGATGAGAACGCTTGTCGTTTGGGATTTGGCCAGCCATAAGGTGAACTTCGCTGATCTTAGCGGGACCCGATTCTCCGAACAGGAGCAACCGGATGAGGAGGTTGCCAGCTACATCTTCTTCTGGAGCGGTCGCCTAAAGGCAGAGGGACGTGAGGCTGACGATGCCTTTTCCATCCGGACTATTGTGAGACAACCGCCCTGACTTCTACGGAGTATTAATAACCACCTTGTAACTCTGCGACTGCCTCGACAGAGGACTCAATTTGCCACCGTCGGCAGCACATTCACTCCCCTCCGACGGGGTAAAGAACAAATTCCGCGTCGGCCTGCACGCGCACTTAACGACGGTGTCGAAGGCGGACAGGCTGATTGTCCTTGGCACCTTCATTATATGCTGCATGGAAGGGAGTACTGGATCTCCATGGAATCCGACGTCTTCAATGTTCCCCACTTTATTTCCGACTCCTATTACCACCAACCGGCGAAAACGCTCCCGACGTCCTGCTATCCCTCACCAGCATTTCCACCACCAGAAATGAGAACCTGATCTTAGCCTGCCCCTAATCTGATCATACCTTCACATCACACATTGGCCTGGTCGGATATCGGTGGTCGAGGTCAAACCAAAAGTAGGAAGGAGTGACGCCAGCTCTCAATCCACCAGTTCGCTTGGTGGTACTTAGACTCATCTTCAGGTTTTATGAGGTTAAAAACATCGCGAAAGATGACAACCGTGTTAGGATGCAAGCGACTAGATTATAGACTTCCGACTCAGAGACTATCAGCAATTGCAATGATCTCCCTCCTCCTATGAACTGATAGGAATATTCCCGGACTGGGTACTTACACACTTATATAGCTTACATGCCTATGAAGACTATGTTAATAATAAAAGATAAATCCTGCAATTGTGATTCTTCGAAAAGAGTAAGTATCAAGGGATGCGGGCGTCGGACTGAATATTGACAGCTTAGTAGACGTCATCTGTCGGTGAACTTTCAACTCCAGGTTCATCTCCCAGCAGAGGAGCCCCTCAAACATTTTTCTGCAGCCTCCACCCGTCTCAACCGCCATCTTCACTGTCTATCGGCTGAGCAAAGGCATATTTAAAGCTCTGTGAGAGTGTTGCTCAGCGATCTGACCTAGTGGAGGGAAGAAATGAGAATTTTCGTTTCACACTAGGGTTCTGAATCTAGGGGCCATGTGGGCTGTTTGAAAAACATGCCACTCTCGATTGTCGTCTGTGCTGATTGGTTCGAAAACGGATTCAAAACGAAAGCTGAATCAAATTATTGTCCCAGAGATCAGGTCATTCTTTTCTCATAATAATCAGTTATTGTTAGGGGTAAGCACGCTCCCAGTGTCAAAACAATTAGGTAGAAAAAAATAAGAGTACACCGGAAGTAGTGGTTTCGGACGTACAAGCTGACGATTGGGAGAAACAGTCGCACTTTGCCAACAACACTCGAGTTCACGTCATGATCTTGATTACCCAGACGTAAGAATAATTGGCCTGAGCTTCAGGGTCATAGTCGGCGAACAAATACCGGTCTCGGAATGACTGAAACTTCAGTTTTCGACTGCATTCCAAACTCCAGATCACTTTCGGAAGGCATCTGCCAAAAGCTGATGGGCTGTGTGCGAATCCTGTCCGCCTATTTTTAGTGACGTCCTCTCCGATGATTAAGTTCTCGACGGATGGAAAAATAAGACTGGGAACCCTTTCACTCCAGCCACCGTGGACCAGATAATTTGCCAATATCGACACCTGGAAACTAAGATTCCACTAAAGCGTGCTATATCCTTCACTTGCAGCTCAAGTTAGGACGCATCATAGAGATATGACCCGTTTCCTAGATGATGTTCTTAATAATCTCGGCCAGAACTGTGTCAAAAGGTACGTATAGGGAAAACTAGATAGGATCTGTCAGTCAGGTTGCATGAATAAACCCTCTTTCCTTGCTTCTTTTCGATCCCACGGATAGAAATATAGAAATATACCAGTCTCCCTGGTCTTTGTCGGTAATAACATACTGCCAATATACCTTTTCGCTGCCGTATACGGACAACTCGTGCTTGTTTTACAAACACGGTTTTCCAACTCATTTATAAAAAATCGAGAAAAAAACGTCCGATTGTGTACCTGTTGTAGTAAATAAATGAGTTGACTTGGTAGGCCGTTACATTTAAGGTCTCTACAAAAGTGGATGTTTGGCATACCGTCTGCAACTGCAAAACCGAATAAGACTGGCATTAGACATACTTTCAGCGTTTGACCACCGTTCACTGTCGACCTCCAAAGGGCTTTCATGTCGAACAGTTGCAACTGATGCGCTTCAAAGTGTCCCTAACATGTGCGAACATTTGTTATGGCCAATCGGAGGCTGAAGCTAACGCCGAAAGTGACAACACTTCTAACTGCCGCAACTAATTTTAAAGCAACGAATAGTGTTGCTTGACAGTCCGCATGCCAGAATCGCACGACGCTGGTGGAGTTTGTTACAGCACTCGGTAAATATTGCGTGCAACACAGAATTATCACATCGGAAAAAGTACAGCTCTGAAAAACAAACACATCAAATTTACACGAATTCCAAAAAGAAATTGCATATGTTGCCATATAGTCTTTTCTATGTGTGAATGGCGTTCAGAGATGTATCCTAGCTGCAGAACAGTATGTGCGCGAAGCCACAATCAGCGGAGTTTGGGGTAGTCACATGAACGAAAGGTGGAGAAACGCAGCAGACGTTTGGAAGGAAACTATAATGGCAGTTCCGAAACCAGTTTCAATTGTCAGTCGGTCCCTTGCTACCTAAGGACTGGACTGAAATTCGAACAGATTTACCTTCCCCAACCTTATTGGTTCAGTTGGTCCTGCCCATTTTAACTTGGGGGCTCTGTATTGCTGAACATTTGGCTAGATCGCAGTTGGTAGCCAGGGATGGGGGAGCGGACGGCGACCTTAAGCATAATCTTACCCCAACTCTAACCCCAACCTCAAACTTATGCGTTAACCATTAACCTTAACGGCAAACCTAACCCTAACCGAAATCGTAAACGTAACCGTAGTCCTAAGGCATAGCCGTAACTAAAAACCTAACCGGAATACTGAGACCTAATCATACACTCACACCCTAACCGTAACATAAAAACCTAAGCCTAAAGGCATAACCCTAACCCGAAAATCGGAAACCATTAACCGGTACCCGATTCCTAACCTCAGACGTAAAACGGAAGCCAAATGGGTCAGATGTGATCATGGAACCCCAAAAATAGCCCAGTAAACAAACCCCTCAGCCACCTATAACACCTTTAAAAACAATTTGGCGACTAAAGATTGTCGAAGCCTTTCTGTCTTGCTATGTTTCAGTAGGGCGTAGTTGAAAATTTATGTGCGAAATTAGCTTTTACTATGGTTAAACTTTGTTCGGGAATCGCAAAGCACCTATAACACGGGGCCTGGCTGCCAACTGCGATCTAGCCTCTTATCCTTCCATTTTAAAATATCAGACAAAAAATTCACAAGCTGCCCTTTATTTAATACTTGCAAATTCCGTTTAGGTATTTGAAGTTTCCTAACTGTCGCTCATTTTGGCGAATTTGTGAGGCACTTAGGAGATGATGGCAAAATAAGTAGCCTGAGGAGACAATTTATCACGAAGTCTGCTTTGTACTAAGCAACAACGCACATTCAGAAGCCAACTTCTTATTCTATGTAAGACACATGCAACAACGGCGCTTTTCTACTCGAGGCGCCACATAAGAATAAATCCGACGTGCTGACAGAGGAGACTGATTGTCTATAAAAAAACCAAAATACCAACAGCCGTCAGATTGGTTGCCTTCATAGATACAAAGGGTAAAATGGCAGAAAATGATCCTAGACGCTGGAGCGCTGGCGAGCACCGGCACCATAATTACACAGACACAACTGCGATGGAGTGGCCATGTTGTGGGAATGCGCGACGGGCGGCCGTCCAGGTGATTGTCCTACAACGAAGCTGCTACGATTGTCTGCAAATATGAAGGAGAACGCGTCGATGCAAGGACACATTGAAGATCTCTCACTGGCATATGTGAATAAGCCCTCTGAGCTAGGAGGACTTTGTCCGGAAACGACAGCGAGTCACACTGAGTGAGAGCTGAGGCAGTAATCTACGAAACTCATCGCATAGAAACGCTTTATGCCTTCAAACGCCTGAACCCATTGTCAGCTGACGTTCGAAGTGCACATCAGACTGGCCGGTTATCTTCAGATCTGTCGTCATATCAACCTGCATGACTTAGCAATTTCCGCGCGTATAGACTTCCTCACTAGTGCCGTCGTAGAAGTTATCCGTATACACTCCTATAGGCCCCATTACTTCCTACAGAAACGACAGCAATGGGGACACCGTCCCTACAGATACGCCTTCTCATCTCACAGCGACCTGATTGGCAACTTGCAAATCGCCGACACAAACGAAGTTGCGAGTTCCGGGAACAAGTTGATAAGAAGAGGCGGTCGCTGGAAAAAGGGCTTTATTCGCCTGACGTTTTGGATTCACACTTTATCTCGTCATCAGAGACAGTGACAGTTTCTGCCACTGGCTCACGTAAGAGCATTCGCTTCTTGCATACATAGGTGAGAAGAACATCCACGGTTTAGCTTTATACAGGATAAGGGAGCCAGATCGTATATGACACGCATAGATAAGTTGTTTAGCTTTGTCAGCCACTACACCTAATCCAATCACCGATTGGCTGGCAGACTCGGAGAGTCAGCTGGAGCATAAGAAATGAAAGATGGAGTGAGACGGAAGCTGAATGTTCCATCCTTACGACAAACCAGCGCATTCACCACAGTAATAAATTTTTTGTGCCTATATATTATTTACGACACACGAAGAGTTGCGAATTAGGGGTTTGCCAACTGCTGACATAGCCCAGTCCTCACAGTGTATAGTAAACTGACTGAGGGACGGAGAGTCAGGTTGCTACGGTGCCTTCTCAACCTGACCTTTATAGCACTCTCACTTATGTGATATCCGACCCGCCCTTGCTTTAGCCGGGCACACCTAGATTGGGGAGCAGGTCGTGTCCGGCATCACGTCTGCTAACAGCCAGATTATGTTAATCACTGTAGGTCCTAAGTCGTCGACCCACATGACCAATATAAACGCGAGAGCCATCAACGCAGGAAATGCGGCAAATGCGAGTAGG